GAAAGAGTTAAGGCTCCCCTGTTACTTTCTCACAGCTAATGGCCTTCTCCCAAAGTAATCTTACCCAGAAGGCCACTTGGGTTTTCTTACACATTGTTGTTGTTGTTGTTCAGTCGCACAGTCGAGTCCGACTCTTCGTGACCCCATGGACCAGATCACGCCAGGCCTTCCTGTCTTCCGCCGTCCTCTGAAGTTTGCTCAATTTCATGTTCGTGCATCTATGACACTGTCTAACCATCTCATCCTTTGCTGTCCCCGTCTTCTTTGACCTTCAATCTTTTCCAGTATCAGGGTCTTCTCCAGTGAGTGCTCCCTTCTCATTTGGTGGCCAAAGTATTTGAGCTTCAGTTTCATTATCTGGCCTTCCAGGGAACAGTCAGGGTTGATTTCTTTTAGGATTGACTGATTTGATCTTCTTGCAGTCCAAGGGACTTTCAAGAGTCTTCTCCAGCACCATAGTTCAAAAGAATCTATTCTTCGGCACTCGGCCTTCCTTATAGTCCAACTCTCGCAGCCATACATGACTACTGGGAATACCATTGCTTTGACCATGCGGACTTTTGTTGGCAGGGTGATGTCTCTACTTTTTATCATGCTGTTTAGGTTCGCCATCGCTTTCCTCCCAAGGAGCAGGCGTCTTTTAATTTCATGGCTGCAGTCACAGTCTGCGGTGATCTGGGATCCCAGGAACGTGAAGTCTGTCACTACTTCCACGACTTCCCCTTCTATTTGCCAAGGAGTGATGGGGCCGGATGCCATGATCTTAGTTTTTTTGATGTTGAGCTTCAAGCCCACTTTTGCGCTCTCCTCTTTTACTCTGAGCAAGAGGCTCTTTAGATCCTTTTCACTTTCAGCCATTAGAGTGGTATCATCTGCATATCTGAGGTTGTTGATCTTTTCCCCAGCAATCTTAATTCCCGCTTGTGATTCATCCAGGCCAGCATTTCGCATGATGTACTCTGCATATATATTAAATAAGCAAGGTGACAGTATACATCCTTGTCGTACTCCTTTTCCTATGCTGAACCAATCAGTTGTTCCGTATCCGGTTCTAACTGTCGCTTCTTGGCCCTTATACAGGTTTCTCAAGAGACATGTGAGGTGGTCTGGTACTCCCATCTCTTTAAGGACCTGCCATAGTTTGTTGTGATCCACACAGTCAAAGGCTTTAGCATAGTCAATGAAGCAGAAGTAGATGTTTTTCTGGTACTCTCTTGCTTTCTCCATAATCCAGCGAATGTTGGCAATTTGATCTCTAGTTCCTCTACCTCTTCGAAACCCCGCTTGTACTTCTGGTAGTTCTCTATCCACGTACTGTTGAAGCCTAGCTTGTAGGATCTTGAGCATGACCTTGCTAGCGTGTGATATGAGTGCAATTGTGCGATAGTTTGAACATTCCTTGGCGTTGCCCTTCTTTGGGATTGGAATGTATACTGACCTTTTCCAATCCTGTGGCCACTGTTGCGTTTTCCAAATTTGCTGGCAAATTGAGTGCAGCACTTTAACAGCATCATCTTCTAAGACTTTGAATAGCTCAGCTGGGATACCATCACCTCCACTAGCTTTGTTGTTAGTAATGCTTTCTAAGGCCCATTTAACTTCACATTCCAGGATGTCTGGCTCGAGGTCAGTGATTATACCGTCGTGGTTGTCAAGGACATCGAGGTCTTTCTTGTATAGTTCTTCTGTGTATTCTTGCCATCTTTTCCTAATCTCTTCTGCTTCTGTTAGGTCCCTACCGTTTTTGTCCTTTATCATGGCCAGCTTTGCATGGAACGCTCCCTTGATTTCTCCAATTTTCTTGAAGAGATCTCTAGTCCTTCCCATTCTATTGTTTTCCTCTATTACTTTGCATTGTTCATTCAGGAAGGCCTCCTTATCTCTCCTTGCTGTTCTCTGGAAATCTGCATTCAGTTGGGTAAATCTTTCCTTTTCGCCTTTGCCTTTCGCTTTCCTTCTTTCCTCTGCTATTTGTAAAGCCTCATCAGACAGCCATTTTGCTTTCTTGCATTTCTTTTTCTTTGGGATGGCGGTGATTGCTGCCTCCTGTACAATGTCATGAACTTCTGTCCATAGTTCTTCAGGCACTCTATCAAATCTAGACCCTTGAATCTATTCTTCACCTCTACTGTATATTCATCAGGGATGTGATCTAGGTCAAACCTGAATGGCCTAGTGGTTTTCTCAATTTTCTTCAGTTTAAGTCTGAATTTTGCAATGAGTACCTCGTGATCTGAGCCACAGTCATAGTTGTTGGTGTGTAATGTGTAGTGACTGCCATTTCACTACATCGGCTCTTATCCAGGTGGTGCTGAGCTGCCATGGTTATCTTGTCTCTTCTTTTTGTAGTCTGCTGTCAATATTCTGTGGTTATCTTACTTTGTGTGAACTGCCCTTCTTAAAGGGCAGTATAGAAGTATGGAATGATAGGTGTGGGTTCTCACTGCCTTGGGGAGCATGATTTTGGGGTGGGCTGATTTCTTGGAAGGCTGGACTGGTTTTCCGTTACCTTAAGAATTGACATACCAGCTACTTCTTCTCTTTTGACACCATGTGCTGTACCCAGTATGCTGTTTCTACATGATGGGGAACTGCTGTATGGTAGCCTTTTTTGTAGGCTGCAGTTCAAATATTTCATATTTTTTCAAAGTCCAAGATGACCCCAGAAGTGGCCTTAAGTCTCCTAACTCCTGTCTTGTTAATTCAGATGGGAAAGCATGAAAAAGGACATCTTGCTAGGTTTGTAGAGAATATTGACATGTGTTTTGAAGGCACGCGTTGCATCTCTCCAACATATAGCTATCCAAGACAACTGTAATAAAGAATGGTAACTCATGCTTCTGTAATCTTTCTCTTGCAGGAAAAGAAAATCAGAGTCTCTCTGCCTTTAACAAGAGGACCAAGTGCCTTTATACCAGAGAAAGAAGTAAGGCTTTTTTAAAAAATTCAATATTCTCAAGTAAGGCAACTATCATGTAAATAGAGCCGGATATATCTGGTGAATTCCCCACCCCACCCCCGAGTCTAGCCCTTCCCAGGCAGTTTGTCCAGGTTTGTATCGGGCAATTGATCTATTGGCTAAGTATCTCTGGAGAGAATCCCAGAACTGTTAGTAACCACGTCCATGGCAAAAAAACAAAAACCTGTGGTGTCTGTAGACTAACAAATGAATTGTGAGCTTCTGTAGGGTGTAGTCTTTAAACAGAATACATCTAAAGCTGCAGCCTATGGAAGCGCAGACCACAGTCAGTTTTGTAGTATATAAGGCAGTCCAGAACTCTCAGCTGTTTAAGGAAAATGCAGTGGTGGGGAATGTCGAAACACCATGTGGCTAACTACTTAGCAGTGAGTGGGAGTGGGAGAGAACCCATGTCCTTTCTGATGGGCATTACTTTGGATCACGCAATGTGGTTGTGTAGTTGCTTGATTTTTTAAATTATTTTAATGCATATTTTGTTGCCCTTACTTAAAGGAGCTCTGGGTGGCATACATAGTTGTCCCGCTTCCATTATATCCTCACAACTACCCTGTGTGGTAGATTAGGCTGAAACTGGCCCCAAATCCCTCAGTAAATTTCAGGGTGAGTGGGGATTGTGCTATAATGGCTACACTGTACCACATGTGCCAGCATGGGAGAGTACATAGCAGATGATTCTCAGCAGTGGACTGTGTTTTGTGAAGAGTGGGCTACCTCACTTTTTAGTCCATGAATATAAAGCACCCTGTTCGCTTTAACATTTTGAAGTTCTCAAGATGGGCCTTGGGTGTGTTGGACTCTCCCATAGCTGCAGGTGTTTTGTTCTTTTGTTGTTTGTTGAGCTATCTGTATCGTTATTGTTGAATGTTTTTGAAATTTGCAATTGAAAATAATCAATTGACATGCATCACCTTGAGCAGCTCATAGGGAGATAATAAAATGTACAAGTAAATAGATAGATAATCCCCTTTTCTTGCCTGCCATTGTTCCTTGAAGGTTATGCAAGCAAACAGTTTGAATGAACGAATGCACCTGCTTGTGGAAGAATATTCTATATCTGGTCGCCTCGACAACATTACCCAGGTCATGAGTTTACACACTCAATACCTGGAGTCTTTCCTTCGCAGTCAGTTCTACATGTTGCGTATGGATGGGCCTCTTCCTTTGCCCTACCGACACTACATTGCAATCATGGTATGTCCTGGAGCATTCTGCTGTTTCTTTTCCACTCTCTGTTTCCCTTTGTGTTTTTCCCCAGTGCCCCTTTAACTAGTGCTTGAATGCAAATTAAGCCCAACTTCATTCACTTCCCTTCTGAGGCTGAAAGAAAGTACTGTCACAGAACTAGTAAGTCCCTGCTGCAAATCCTCACCCCTGCCACAAACTCACTTAGATGACTTTAGGCAAGTCACCATCATCTATTGCTGTATAATCAAGCATATCAGGCTCCAGACTGATAAGTCTTTTAATAATCTGGACCCAAAACTGTTATTTGGTAGCAGAACTTCTTGCTTGTCTCAAGCCCCGCTGCTGGGATTTCAAACACTCTCTCAGAGAACCAGGGTTCACCACTCACAGAATCCGAGAATCATAGAGTTGGAAGGGGCCATACAGACCATCTAGTCCAACCCCCTGTCCAATGCAGGACCAGCCTAAAGCATCTCTGACAAATCTTTGTCCAGCCTCTTCTTGAAAGCTGTCAGTGAAGGGGATCTAACCCCCTCCCTAGGCAACTGATTCCACCTTTGAACCACTCTTACCGTGAAATTTTTTTCATAATATCCAGCCAATACCTTTCTGCATGTAATTTAAACCCAGGGAGGACCTGGGAACCCTAGAAGATAAACTAGAATTCTTGCAGACTTGATATGTGTGTGTTGCAAATATGATCCTTCACTTTCTTGATGTGTCTTACTCCTTAGGCCCCCACCCAGCAAGCAACATGTGCTGTTTTAAATTTTACTCCGTGTGGTTTACCTGCACCTGTGTTTCTAACTCCAGGCTGCTGCCAGGCACCAGTGTTTCTATCTAATAAACATGCATGTGGATGAGTTTTTGAAAACTGGAGGGATACCAGAATGGCTGAATGGCTTGGAATACGTTCCACAAAGGCTGAAGAATCTGAATGAAATCAATAAGCTTCTTGCACATCGACCCTGGCTAGTCACGAAAGAGCACATTCAGGTATTTCATCAAGATTAGCTGGAAATGATGCTGAAATGCTTGCTTACATGTAACTTTGCTTTGGGGGAGTTAAGCTGGGGGGATTCAGTCAAGGGTCTCTTTTCAGCTTTGATTGGGTTTCCAACTCTGTCCCTTTTTTTTTCACTACCTATTCACAGTGGGTCAAGGAGGTTGTCTGAGGAAAACGTTCTCAAAAGTACCACATACTCCATTGATCCCTTCTGAAGTGAATTTTTGTTTTTTAAAAAAGGGGCAGTGCATAACTGGGTCTGTGTGTAATGTGTAGTTCTGCCTTTGGTTCCCATGAATCAAAGCAAAGCCCTGTAGACCAAGCTCTCACAGTTAATGTGCAATATCAGAGAAGCCAATAACAGTCAGGGAAGCTTCTTATTTTTAAAAAAGTGGTTGCCCGGAGAGGTGAACAAGAAGGAACAGGGGTTCTGGGAAGTTCAGTTGATGTTAAGAATGAAGAGCACACTGCTAAAAAGATGAAGGCAAATGATAAGAATTCCTTTACATAAAAAGCAGGAAATCGGGGGGGGGGGAGGAAAAAGATTGCTAAAGGAAGACAGGGAGATTGCAGAGAAACTGAATTATTTGTGTTAATGAAAGGTTAATTGCTGTTAAAGCCAGGTAAAGATGACGGGCTTAGCTCTGCACATAAATAGTAATGATGCCAGGCAAATTTTCCTGTGGCATGAGCTCTGAAAAACTGGGGTGACACACAAAAGGCCCTCTGTTTTTGTTTTTAAACAATGGGCAGTAATGCACATTTTAATCAATGCAAACTGTATCACACTTCCTTCAGTAGCAGCAGAAAGGCACCCCTGTTGAGGTTTCCATGATGCGTAATAAACCTCTGCCTTAGTAGCCAATTAAATTTTATCTACTGCAATTTTTTAACATCAGCAGACAGCCCTAATATCTCTCTTTCCAGTTCTCCTCTGCCCTCAAGTTCACCCGTTCCTTTTGAAAGCAACGGGAGGAAATTGATGCAGATTGAATTTTTATAGCATGTTTCCTTTCTGGCCCTGGCTTGGCAACAGGAAAGCTGCTGTTGCGAGGAAGTATGGCCAGTTTTGCTTTGGACATCTTTAGGGGTGGATTATTTTAACCTTCCAAAAGCCTGAAATAACAGTGCCCAACCCCATCTGACAAGGAGCGAGAAAGCGATCAGCCTCCTCCTTATCTTGATACAGCCCTCTTAGTTACATTATAGATGAGCTGCTTTTCCTTATATGAATAAAGGGGTCTAGCAATAGTCGTTCAAATGTATGCTAATGAAGACTGAAGAAAATGAAATAGTTTATGAGAACCGTAGCAAATTATGTTTTGCTTACATTCGGAGCTCAGCTGGACTGATTTGCTGAGTTTGCAATCAGAAAGGCATTGTCCTTTGGATGAGAGCACCTGCTGACCCAGCTGATTGTTTTAACTTCCCCTGTTGAGTTTAGCTGGGCTTCTTGTTTTTTGCTTCGGTTATTTGGAGCCAAGACTAGGGAGAGAAAATATATGCCTAGTAGGGCATGGTGGAAGCTCAGACTTAAAAGCTCTTATGTCATGATGCCTGGGAGCAACTTTTTTTGCACTCAAGAAGTGGAACTTTGTATCTTCCCTGTGCAGTTCAGCTGTCTGTTTCCCAGCTATCCCTATCAAAATGGAAATTCTAAGGAGACTGCAGCTGTGGCCTCCCTCTTCTCCACTGTAGCAGTCTGTCTCCTTCCTGTGTTTGCATCTGATGTGGAAGTGTATGTGTGTGCTTTTTCTTGTTTCAGAAACTTGTCAAGACAGGGGAAAATAATTGGTCTCTTCCTGAACTGGTGCATGCCGTGGTCCTCTTGGCACACTATCATGCCTTGGCAAGTTTTGTCTTTGGTAGCGGCATCAATCCAGAGAGGGATCTCGATACCTCGAACGGGTACAGGCTCATATCGGTCAACAGCTTCTGTGTCTGTGATCTTGCCAATGACAACAACATCGAAAACGCATCCCTCACCAGCAACAACTTTGGGGTTAGTCCCCCCCAGACTTCCTTTTTCCTGCTTTTGTCCATTGCAGTTTTCAGGGTGGGTTTTTTTTAATCCTCCGTGTAGTTCAGTTATCAGTTTCCCAGTGTGTCTGTCCGTTGTGGGCTGCAGGGAGCTGGTCTCAAAAAGAGTGGGATTGAACTCTGAAGTGCTGAGGCAAATCTAAAGCAAAGGCAGTCCAAAGGCAGGGTCAACTGCAGGACAGGAACTAAGCCAAGCAGTCTGCAGTGGTGTGGAGGAAGAAGCAGGGCTTACAGTGTGGCCAACGTAAAATAGAGGGACAGGAGAATGACGTAAGCCACTTTGGGTCCCCACTGGGGAAGAAGGCAGGATGTAAATGAAGTAAATAAGAGCATGGGAAAGCTTCCCGATGGAGAGAAGAACCGGCAAGCAGAGAAATCAGGAGCAAAACTAGGGAGCCAGGCAAGCAAGACCAGCCTGACCATTGGCCAGGCAATGACCCTACGTCACCTGGAAGCATTTATAGGCCAGTGTATCAAGTGGGGCAATATTTGCTGAGATCTTAATAACCAACGGGAGTGGTTAAATAAGGTTTTCGGTGACTGAGGGTGGGTTTCAGTTCCTGGAATGACTTTTCACTGGTCACTGTGACTGGCATCAGTCGAACAAATACTATGAAGTTCCAAAGTATACAGTGGAAAACAATACAAAAATCTTAATAAAAATACAGAGCTGTGCAGAATAGGAACACCAAGCAGGTTGCAGAATGTTTTGTGCAACTCCACATTTTAGCCCCGACCTGGATATGTGGCATAAACGTGGATATGAACTTTCCGTGGGGAAACAGAGAAATGGTTTGGTTGGTTGGTTTCTCTCTCTCAGCCTCTTTTTTCCCTCCACTTACCTGTTTCAGTTCATAATCAAAATAACACCAGGCAGATATACATATACAACTAAAAAAAACCCCACTGATACACTTTAACAAGGGGCCAGGCTTTCATTGACTAACAACTTTAGAAGCTTTCACTCTCCCAGCCTGTAGCACTCCTTGTATCTTGTGATGCATTTTAGATCTCAGATTCTTTAAGTGAACTGGAGGCTCTGATGAACAGAATGAGGAGGCTGCAGGCAGAGAAGGAGGACGAGGAGGCCTCCCAGGAGGAGATGGACACTCGCTTTGAAAAGGAGAAGACGGAGAGCCTCCTAGTTGTCACTGAAGGTACTTCTCCTAGTCTGTTTTCTTTTGAGCCCTTTTCTGTTCAGCATTCAGAAGCGTCACTCAAGAGCCAGAGTTGAATTGAGTTCCAAGGAATTCAAAGAAAACAAATCGTCCACTCACTGGCAGACAAGTGATGCTACTGCATCCTTTGTTTGTTGAGATGACATGTAAGGAATCTCCATAACAGCATTCCTGGAACTGTCCTGTTTCAGGTTGCCAATGTAGGTTGGTTAGTTGGTGGGTGATCCTCCTGTATAAAAAGGGAGGAGGGGAATAGCCCATAAGGAAGTGGGGTTCTATCCTCATGTAAGGAATCTCGATAACAGCATTCCTGGGACTGTCCTGTTTCAGGTTGCCAATGTAGGTTGGTTGGTTGGTGATCCTCCTGTATAAAAAGGGAGGAGGGGAATAGCCCATAAGGAAGTGGGGTTCTATCCTAGATTTCTATGGTGTGCTAATTTTTTAAAAGCTGCAAATTTGGGGTACTGGAAAAGTAATTTTTCTTCACCCAAAGAGCAATTAATGCATGGAATTAATTGCCCCAAGAAGTGGTAGCAGCTGCAAGCATAGACAGCTTCAAGATGGGATTGGATATACATATGGAGCAAAGGTCCATCAGTGACTACTAGCCACAAGGTATAGAGAGAACACTATGTGATGCCCAATATTTTTGGTAGTGCTCGGGTGGCAATAGTGGGAGGACTTCTGGAGTTCTGGCCCCACTGGTGGACCTCCTGGTGGCACCTGGGTTTTGGCCACTGTGTAACACAACACAGAGTGTTGGACTGGATGGGCCATTGGCCTGATCCAACATGGCTTCTCTTATGTTCTTATGTCCAGATGTTCTCCTGCAGCCTGATGTGGTTCAGTCACAACAAGACTGCCCTGCACAGATTTCTCCAGGTGTGTGAATCAGGACAGGACTGCCAAATATAAGTCCCAGGGGCTTCTTGGGCCCTTTTAGGGGTATTCAGCCTGGCCTGTGCTGCGTCTGCCTTTTAGGGTGGGTGCTCACACACACTTGTTTTTATAGCTGGCTTCTCCAGTGCAAGAATGCTTGCTCTTCTGGGTTTCAGGAGAGGGTGAAGCAAATACTTGTTCATTGTTGTGTGCATACTCTAAATGTTCTAAGAACCAGAGCTTTTTTTCCTGGGGGAACGTGCCTGAACAGAATTCCAGAACCTCGTCGACAAAATCCTTTTTAAAATGTTTAAAAGTTCATGAGTTTTCAGTATACAGATTGAAAACTTCATTTTTGTCTTGAGAGTTCCAGCACCTCTTTTTCAAAAAGAAAAGAAAAGAAAAAAGCCCTACTAAGAACACAGAAATTTCCAGAGTGGGTGGTGGTGGTGGAATGTAATATTTCAAACAGTATTGTCTGTGGTAGAATAGGGTTTTTTAACATCTACTTCAAGCAGAGTGGACACTGACTAGTGAAATACCATTGATGAGGGTTTGGGGCATCTGCCGGAGTAGGGACCTTGGATTTGACGCCCCCTGTTTAGAGCATTTCCCCAGAAGAGTTTTGTGTTTTTTAAATGTTGCACTTTCATCTGGTTTTCATTCATTCTTGCTTTAATCCAATACAAGATCAGTTGTGTGAAGTGCATTGAATTCAGTAAGTCACAGAGGCAGATGGCAGTCCTGTAGAAAGCCAGTCTCTAGGTTGATCTCCAGTTGTTGCGGAGCAGAGTTAACCATCATTTCTGAATGGGGGTGTCTCAGCAGTCACAAGTGCTCATGAGCTGGGGGCTGATGCAGGCCTATAGGTTACGTGAACAACAACAAACTGGTGGATTAAAAAAGGGTAATGGGTGGCTACTTGTCAAAAGCAGCCCTCCTGGAGGTAACAGGCGGTGTCTCATCCCTCTCATTGGTGTTTAGCATCTGTAGGACAAAAGTGTCCTTATGTGGTTGAACCTGGTTGAAAGTTTCAAAGACTGTGGAATATTTTTGCACTCAGCATTGGAGTCAAAGAGCCTAGTTTGTTCTAAAATGCTGGCAAAGATCTCCCTCTAGAGTGAGCCAAAAGAGATTGCAAGAATCAGAAAACCAAGAGTCAAATCTAGGCTCAACAATTTGGATTTTTTAGAAATTGCAATGAAGGCCTGCTTGGACTGTTGCCAAGCAAGTTTCTTCCCACACAGAATTCTGTTTTGATTGACTAATGAACCAGAAAGAAAGATAAAAGCATCCCTTGTGATTCTTGGATTAACAGGGGGATTTTTAAAGGTGTTAGCAGTAGAAGCATAGCAGGTTTCCCAACCTACCCTTGTCGGGGCACTTGAAAGCAAGCCAAGATGAATACCAAGGCCACCCACAGCCAACTTTACAGAAGTCAAGCTAGCTGATTATTGGAGGGGGGGGCAGGTGGGAAGTGGGCGGAGGTTTCTGGACAGAACAATTGTCCTTGCTTAGTAATGGTTTTGTTGGCGTTCTTTTGTAATGCTTGGTTACATTATGGCTCTTAGCCCGCCTTTATCTCACTGAAATCTTTAGCAATGTCCAGATGGCTCTTAATTTTTAAAGGATGAGGATCTACTGCATTTCTTAATCAGTGCATATGGTCCCCAACAGTACATGTAGGGATGGAAGTTCAAGCCATGCTGATCCCTTGTCAACCAAGATTTGTCCAGGCTGTCGGATTTGCATGGACAGCTTCCCCTTTTAAACCTGAAAGTTCTCCCTGTGGAAGGATCCCTGTCTTTTTGTAAGGGTATGACATTCGTTCTGATTCCTGTACCTTGGCAGCAGAGCCCCAAATTTGTGGCCACTTGGGTCTTAAATTAGTGGCTCATGTTCTCTTCTTATACTTTGGTGGCTATGAAGATTCCTAGTCTCTTAACAGCTTCTTTCCATTGCCCAGTCTACATTGTGTGTAGGAATGGCTTACCTATCTTTGAAACAAGGGAGAAGCAAAGACAAGCATGAGAACATAAGAGAAGCCAATGTTGGATCAGGCCAATGGCCCATCCAGTCCAACACTTTGTCACACAGTGGCCCTCCGCTTTGTTTTTGTTTGCCACTAAAACATAAAATGTGAGCATGGTAACACAGATTAAACCCCTTAATATCTTTCATTAATAATGAAAAGCGCACACTTAGTACCCTGCATACTTTTCTTTCCTAGCATTTGATGATGAAATACTTTCCATAGCCGATGTTTCCCGCTACATTGAAGATCCTGGTTTTGGATACAAAGACTTTGCCAGGCGGGGAGAAGAACATCTACCAACGTTCCGGGCCCAGGTATGTACTGACATTAGTCGTAGTTGGAGAAACCAAATAGAGGGAGTACTTGTAGAAACTCAGGAAGAGGAGTTACAGAACTGCCTTCGAAAACCATTCTGTAGGACTCAGACACAACCTTTACAAACGTCCAGTGGTCTTTTCTTTTTCAGGACTATACCTGGGAAAATCATGGATTCTCCCTTGTGAACAGGCTTTATTCTGACATTGGGCACCTTTTGGATGAGAAGTTCCGCATGGTCTACAACCTCACATACAACACTATGGCTACACATGAAGACGTTGACACAACCATGTTGAGAAGAGCTTTATTTAATTATGTTCACTGTATGTTTGGAATCAGGTACATTACCAAACTGAGCCAGTCGATGAATGTATTTAGAAGTCCCTTTTGCCACACTGCATACGTTGAACAGTATAAGTAGATCTCATGGCATTGGGGGTATGAGTGGACACAGAGATGCAGCATCAAAATCTGAGCACCTTGAAAGATATTAGCCCCCTCTCTGCCCAGTAAGATTAGAAAACTAGCTGTGGAGTAAGAACTAGCGTGAATGCCTTTCCCCTGTTGACAATTGAGCCGCTTTGGTCTATTTTAAAACCAGAACTAAGGACAAACCAACAGGATGGAGTACTTTATCTGTACACTCTGTCAGGGCTCCTATTGGGCAATAAAATGGGGAAGGGTGGCTACATGTTGAACAGAACAAAAGTCGAAGGGCCAGCAACACTGGTGGTGTCCACTCACTCAGGGCCAAGCTAGGCATGATGGCAGAATTCATATTTATTTCACGTGCCCTCCCATTCACAGGTAAATGAGGGTGTGTGGAGGAATTAGTTTTGTACAGGAATGGAGTGCATGCTGTGCTTCAGTGCTTTTGCCCCTGCCTTGGTCACTTGGGCTGTTGGAGCCTGGCTGGGAGGTGAGATGAACAGGAGCAGGGAGAGTTTTGCTGCCCTCACCTGTGTGCTCCATTCTCTGTTCAACATAATACTGACCTTATGCCCTACACGTGATGGGAGAACACAAACATGGATTCTTGCCCCTAACTACTTTGACCTGTGTAAACAGAAAAAAGGATTTAGGGAGGAAAACAACACAATTGAAGGGTTTAATGCTTCACATATTGGCTGCTGCTTGTCCGCTACAAAAAGTGCTCTCCCCCCACTATTCAGCAGCACAGGTTCTTGGTCTGCCACTGAATGTTTAGCTTAACTCTTAGGCTGCACAGACAATCCATTTTAACCACCATTAAATAAAGACGTGCCATGCTCACCCATGTCTGGCTCCTCTTCTCCCACCCACTCTCTCACAGAATGCAATGTTGAATGGTGGTTTAAAGATGAATTCCAGTTATCCGTGACGTACAAATGCAGGCGCATGGCTTAACCAGAGTTGGTCTGTCTTACACTCATTGGGATCCTAAGCTGTCCTGGTCAAGAATCCCAGCTTTTGAGGATTCTGCGTAGCGATCCCAGACTTCCATGGTGGTCCCCTGTCCAAGTACTAACCAGGGCTGATCCTGCTCAGCTTCCGAGATTGGGCTCGCCTGGGCTATCCAGGTCAAGGCACTACTTTTTCTAGCATAACAAAATTTCGCAATATTTTCAGTGTGAAAATGAGAGCATAGTTAGTGTGAAGTAAAATATCCTTCTCCTAGACAGTTTTTTAAATATATGAGTATAGGTATCAGTCTGTTTCTTGAGCAGCTCATCTGCACAGTTTTCTTCAGCAATCCTATGAGCAGCTGTTCAGAGGGAGACAATGGCATGTGGGATCCCTTCCAAGGAACAATGGTGTGTGGGATCCATGCATGTTGTTTGCAAGGGCATGACCTCAGGTCTGGCAATCATGTGTTTTCAGCCCCAAGAGCAACATGAAAGTCAATGATTTTCAAATTGGTTTGAGATTCTATTGAGAAATTTAATAGAGCAGATCTGTATCTGTTTCATGAGAATCATAATCCAGATTTATGCAGGCAAGGATTTGCCATAGTTTGTACAGTGAAGAGAGATCCCTTTGAAGCCATGTGCTCCTGACAGTGAGATTCAGGCTGGCTTAATTTTGTTTAGGTATGATGACTATGATTACGGAGAAGTTAATCAGTTACTGGAACGGAGCCTGAAGGTTTACATTAAGACAGTGACCTGCTACCCAGAGAGAACTACCAAGCGCATGTATGACAGTTACTGGCGCCAGTTCAAGCACTCGGAGAAGGTAAGTGTCTTATCATCAGATACACAGGGGCATGCTCTCGCATCTGTGCAAAAGACAAACTGAATGCCATTGCTGTGGAGGAAAGCTTCTATATCTGTAAACAAATCAGACACTCATAGATCAGTGACTTAAAAGTCCTGTACAACAGAGCTATCAAGAGAGAAAACTCTGGGTTGCTGCATCTCTCTTCCTCAAAACGAGGAGGTGCTGGGACTTTAGGGGTAAGATTTGCCGGCTGATGTTACTGAAAACCATTGCAAGTGAGTGATGTGGGGAAATACGGAAGTTCTGTCCACTGCTCCGATGACTTGTCCACGCAAGCGAGTCACTGCTTGATGCTGGTGTCCACGAGCAGCGAGTACGTCCCTCGGTCCCTGTGGTCCAGAACCTCACCCTTTTGCCTGTCTGTCCAACAGGTCCATGTCAACCTGCTTCTGATGGAGGCCCGCATGCAAGCTGAACTCCTCTACGCTCTCCGTGCCATAACCCGTCACTTGACCTGAAGCATCATTGCAAGCGCGTGAATAAAGCTTCCAAACAGATGCATAGCGAAAGCTGCTCGTGGGGTAGCATCGGGTTATTTGATTCTCTAGTGTCAAAGCTGAAGCCGCGTTTCCGGCGGCTGTTAACGTGCAATGATATTCTATATCTTTCTCTTTTTTCACGCCCCTTGATGCTTAACATTACTAATGATAGCAAAAATCATACTGAAGAACACCACTTCTTAAGTTGTTTCCAGCTGGAGTATTGGTCGCAAACCTTAAACTTTTTTATTATTATTATTCTTGCTGTTTCCTCTCTTGCCCAGGATTCTCTTTGATGGTTTTATCTCCTTTCCCCCTCATTCCCAACAATCCTGTTTCATGTGAATGGAATCCAGCAATGGATCTTCGCACTCTTCTCCCCCCCCCCCCCCAAATGTTCCTTTTTAGGCATTTATAATGCAGTTTTTTCCGATCTGGTATCTGCTTTGTTTTAAACTGAACTTCTCAACTGGCTTATTCTGAAAGTGTCCCCGGACACTATGTATTGCTGCAGTTTGGAGGTCGTGTGCAAGCAGACGCAACTGCCCTCTGCAGCTTTTGTAATGTGAAAAGATCTCCTGCGAGTTCTGTGGTGTGCTGCTGGCACGCAGCATTCAAGTACTTCCTCTTCTGACTGTATGAAAGTTTATACCACATCCATTTCAGCTAAACACACTGGTTCAGCAAGTGGCCTTCTCTTTTTGTCTGTGTTCAGCTTTTCTCGATGACCATTTGGAGGGTACTTGCAGCCCCATCCATGAACCAAGTGTAGCTTGGAATATTTGAGCTTTTATGTTGCATTTAAGAACTTCTCCCTAAAATTTAAATCAAAGTTAACTGGCTTGGAGATTGAGTGGTTATGTGGCATTTGCAGATGCAAGACACCTTAACTGGTCAAATAAAAAACAATCTAGACACGGTTGCATTAAGGAGCTCCGGTACTGCTGGATCGATTTTCCGTGTAGTCCAGAGGGATCCACTCTAACTGGAGGGGGTGTCTCTTCCTGCTACCTGAGATCCTTTTAAACGGAGGTGACAAAGATTGAACCCAGGACCTTTATGCGTGTGAAATGTAAGCAATGAGCTACAGTTTCTTTCCTGAAAGCTTTGAATATACAAAGCCTTACACTAACCTGGACCATCTGTCCATGTTGCCCAGTGCTGTGGGGGTATTCTCCCAAGGTCTCAGGCAAGCATCTTTTGGAACCTTGTGTGCTGAGAGCCTTTGAACTGGAGGTGTCAGATTTTGAACCTGGAATCTTTTTACATACAAAGCATACGCTTTATCATTGAGCTGTGGCCTCTTCTTTCTCGATTGCTGGTTTCTGGTTTCTTTGTATGGTTTTTTAAAATTTTAATTCAAGGATAAATTGCATTGGCATTTAAGCTTTTAGATGTTTCCTTTTTGTCTCCAGCATCTGGACACTTTTTTACTATCTTAAAGCTGAAAATCATGTGTCTCTCCATTGATGTGAGTGAACAAAGGAAGTGCAATATGAAACAGAGCAGGCAGGCTTTTCCCTAACAGAGTAACTGCTGAAGGGGTCCCATTTGAAACAGCTGCGGAGAAACAGCTTTCTCTTCCCAAATGTTGTTACTGCCTGTGACTTGCCTGGCATTTTTAGGTCTTGCTTTGAACGCTCCACTGTGGTTGGGATGTCAAAGTATCCATGCAGAGAATGCTTCGCTCTGCGTGTGCTCAGTTCCTTCCAGTGGAGGAGCTCAATGCAGGCTCCATAGAAATTAAACTTGAGGATAAATATGCAGCTGCAGGACCTGATGGATTGTTCCTGTTGACAGCTGTTATTGTGGGTTGGGAAGGGGGCTGAAAAATGAGCTGCTGAAAAGTCAAGATTTTTAAAAATTGCTTTGTGTTGTTTGACTACACTGACTTTTTCAGCGCACAAAATGTCAGTGTTTTTATAGCTTTACTTTTGCGTTGTGTGAACGAGTCAGCAAAGTGCCTGAAGAGATGCTGAAAAACTGCTAGGACATAGGAACTGCTATGATGCGAGAGGTTCGCTCCAGGAAGCATGAGAGACAGCTGTGTTCCCTCGAGGTCAGAATGGCTAAGGCCCAGCAAGTCTTGTGCCCTGTCATAGTTTCGGGAATCCAGAAGAAGAGCCCTGCAGGGTCGGGCCAAATGTCCGTGTAGTCCTGCATTCTGTTGCCAGCCATGGTTTGTCAGAAGCCTCTGAGAAGCCCACAAGCAGGCCCCGAAGACAATAGCCTGTCCCTGTTCATCAGGAAAGGCTGGGGACATTTCAGTGATTTGGGCGCAATAGCCTTCTTCTCTGCTGGGGGGGCTTTCATTACTCGCCTGAATAACACAGTTTTCAATGAGACTTAGTTATAAATAACGTTTGCTGGATTGTGCCAAATGACTGGGTTTGGGCTTTTCCCCCCTTCAAGGTTTGCTTTTATATATGTCTGAAATGAACAGAATGGGGGTTTTGTCTTGTTCCGATGAGCTACAGCAGGGGGACTTTTCTGTTAGACTACCATAATGGCTTTGTTTTATGAAAAAGATTTTGAAAGTCCTTCCAAGTTAAAACATGGATCAGACTTTGGGGAGGTGAAATTGGATTATTATTTTTTTAAACTACTTTCTTCCTTTGTGTAATAATTGCTATAGTGTGTTTGTTTGTTGTTTTTAGGTGCTGAAATCAATTGTTCACCGTTTCCTCCTGCAGTTGGAATTGTAACTTGTTCTTGCATGGAAGAAACTTCTAAGGATATATCTGTACTTCTGCTGTTGGCTTATACCAGTTGAACAGCCATGGCCACATTCTAAAGCATTCTAGGAACTGTAGCTTAGAACGTCCTGAGAGTTTTCTATGTTGAAGAGGCCTCTGGCCTCACAGAGCTGCCATTCCCGGGGAAAGAGCAACTGTAAACCTGCAGTATAGGTATATCTGTAGAAGAAATTATGCGAATGAACGATCAGTGTGTCCTTGCAGAACATAAATGGAAGCTGACTTGGTGGGGGTAGAGTCTGTAGACACTTCAGGCAGAATCCAGACTGCTTTGAAGAATGGCTTGGACTGCAACAGTTCCATTCAATCTGTTGCATTTTGTAACAGCTGGTAGACAGCGTGCAGCTGATGTCCGCGCAAGTCGTTTGTGCAAGTTCTGTTTAGAAAAGGGCACTACTGAATGGTGGAGTTGGACACATGCAGAAATCCATGGGACTTTGCCAGGATTGTGGCTCTACATAGGAGTTGGGATTTTGGTGGGGGGAGGAGAGATAAGAAATCCAGGTCCCCACTGAACGTCTGCAAAGTGGCCAAATGAGATGATGTGGAGAAGATAAGTGTTGGGCAAAGGAAGGAGGGTGTTTGACCTTTCCCCTGAAACCCCCTCCCCCCAGCCAGCTTCCAGATGTGTGTTTGAGCATTGGGGAGAAAAGCAGCCAGGTAGTGTAGGATTGGGGGGGGGGGGTAGAATTAGCAAGCAGGGGAGGCCTCCCTTTGTGTCTGTTTGGCTCTATAGAACCAAGCTGACTTGAATCAGCAAATTGTAACTGCTTTAATATTGGTTTGAAAAGGTCAGGTTTGGGGTTTCCTTTCTTTCTAAGTGAAGTTGGTGTTCTAACTGTGGAAACATTAGTGCCTTTCGTTGTCGGTGTTTCCTTTACGTGAACTGAGTGGTCATCTTGTGAGAAACAATTAGACTTTGAATCTCAAATACAATACTGTATTTATTTCTTTGTGAAGTATATATATATATAAAAAGGATCCATAAACAGAAACTTGATTTCACATGGTGCCAGATCCACACGTGGCTTTCTAGGTTGGGACCGGCCATTAGAGAACCAGCTCACATTGTCCTTAGAAATATAGTGACAGACTTGAACATTACCAAGACAGTTTTTGTGAGGCGGCATTTGATTCAGAGTATAGCATTTATATGGTCATGATCTAGCATATAGCTTTATGTACACAGAATGTGATTTTTTTAAAAAAAAAAATGTTGACATTCAGAGTAGGCATCTAAGCAAACATGATTGTACCTTATGCTTGGTGTACCCCTGTAAGCTCTTTAATGTGCCAAATTTTAAATGTGCAGAAGTGTATTTTTTAGAGACAGAATAGCACGTGTGAATGTGAAGCATCAAGGTTTATTGCCTGCTGGCCATTAGAAACGTATGTCCATCTTCTGTAAGCGTAAATGTTTTCTTTGCTTCCTTAGTGTGACTTTAGGCGTTGGCAACAAGCAACCTCCAGGGCCGAATCTTATCTCAGTGGTCATCCAAGGGGCAAGAGACGAATGTTGGCTACTGACCTCTGTGGGAACGGGACTTTGGCAGCCTTGTCGACACCCTACAGGCTCTTCAGAGCTATACAGTGGGATATAAATGCAATGAAGGCAGGGCAGGGCTTGGGACTTTGGCTGCTGCATGAGATGGGGAAGCTCTTCTGCTGCTTTCATTTCTCAGGAGCTATACCAGGCTGTTGTATCTCCGAATTCCTTGGAGGGGGGGGAGGCACGAACTGAGTCAAATGCATGGAGGGCTGCGTGTGTGTGTGTTCCTAGGTGCCATGGCACAGGTTTAGCATTTTCAAGGGGGAAAGTTCAAATCCTGAGCCTGCCATTCCAGGCCTTGGGAGCTGTGCAAGCACGGGAAGAACTTGTGCCAGAGCAGCGAGAGGAGAAACACAGTGAAATAACACGAAGGGACAAAGTGCTGGTTTTGAGTGCCCTTAATTACTTGGGGCGATTTCTCACTAGAGCTGCCTCGCAGCACAGCGGTTTGCCCCAACACAAACATGTCAATTTCACATCCGAGGCTGCGGGGCTGCATTTGACTCGGGGCTTCGCCCACTTTCCTCCGCAGTTTCATGATCCTCAAAAACCAGGATCACGAAACTGCGGAGGAAATTGGGCGAAGCCCCGAGTCAAAATGCAGCCCCAGAGCTTCGGGTGTGAAATTGACATGTTTGTGTCGGGGCAAATGGCTGTGCTGCGAGGCAGCTCTAGTGAGAAATCGCCCTTGCTGTTCGCTTTTTGAATGATGTTGGCTGTCTGATCTGCATTGACAAAAATCCACAGAGTCAGAACTCTAGAGCCTTTAGAAGTAGCTGGCCAGTCCATCCGGAAAACCCAGGTCCTGCAACTGGAATAAATAATGACCTACGCTGGAAGTCTTTGTGTTCTTCAAACCGTGTTTTAGATAGTTCGTAGTTAGCTGGGGGCTTGTCCTTTGTAGGAGTTGCTGTATTCCACCTTAAATTAAATATTCTGTGGTCTAACAGTAACCATGCAGATTTACAGGCCTTCCAGGGAAGCTTCATTGTGTAGCTACAGCAGAAAATGCTGATGTGAATGTAAAAAAGGGGCAATCAAAGTCTTGAGTGGTTAGGACATCCCACCCAGACTTTTCCACCCTTGGACCTCCAGGATGTATAAAATAGCAGGGTTTCAAGTGTCAGGGAAGGAGCCTCACAGTTTTGTTTTATTTTGGTTTTTTATTTTTTGACAGCTCTGTTGGTCTACTGTCACTGGAAACTTTATTTTCTTAAGTTTTGCTTTCTACAATCAGTGTGATTTGAGACGTTTATGTGGAGGAACCAAAATGACCCTTTGCACTTCAGTTCTGGTTCATTTTGAATGTTTTTCCAAACAAGCTGTGGAATTTTCAATATCTTTATCAGCTTCCCCACCCAGTACTCCTTTCAGAAAGGAGGCCTCTGTAGGACCTTGATTCAGATACAAAGCAGTTAAAGGAATTATTTGCTTTAAAAAAAAAACCAGCCACAGAACTGATGGTGCAGGGGAGAGAATTTTTTTACACCCCTCCCTTGCTACCAGCCATTTCTAGAGTGGCAGGAGAATTTGGACGAAACCCTGTTTCCTGGCAGAATGCCACCTGCTCTCTAGTTCACCAAAGAAATTAACAGCAAAATGTTACGTCCTCTCCATGTTGCTTCTCAAAAGGTCTTCATATATTTACACGTGTGCTTTTGTGTTAGATGACAGAGCATAATAAAAAAAATAGACGTTTTATGCTATGTGGTGAGGATTGCCAAGTGTGGATCTAAAAGGATCTTCCATCTCACAAGATCAGTGTAGGCTCTGCGTTTTCCACTGAACATATACCAGGAGAAGACAATTGGAGAGGTGGGTGTACAATATCACCCACCGTGAGTGTCTGCTGCAAGGCAGAGAAAAACATATCAAGGAAGCCTGTCCTTTTAGTTACAAGTGAAGCAGTCTTTGTTCCCATCTAGCTGGAATTGATGGAGCTATTCAGAGTTATGCATAGCAGCCTTTTTGGCTAAATAATTACCTTCTGTACCATTCAGTTACAAACAGGTATATTTTTTACAGGAACAAGTCTGTTTACCCTAAAACTTGTGTGGGCAGTTGAAACCCTCATATTTACTAGTGTTTTATTCCAAATGTTTATGTCTCAAACATCGGGTGCCTTTTCTCTTCTCCTTTTGCTATGATTGCTGAGTAGGCAAGTGGGAAGGAGCTCCCAATCAGAGGTAGTTACCATGGTTAATTATTCGCTAAAGCTCTGGTACGCAGGGCATTTCTACACTACAGACGTGTATATAAGTTTTTATGTTCTAGTTTAACTGCTATGGCTTCCCCCAAAGAGTCCTGGTACTGCAGCTTGGTAAGACTGCTGGAATTCTCTGTGTGAGATCTTATCCACCCCAACCCCGGTAGATCTACATTTCCATTTTGGCTGTGACTCGGTGACAGAGCATCTGCTCTCCATGTGGGAATTCCCAGGTTCTGTCCCCAGAATCACTAGCTGAAAGGATCAGGTAGGAGGTGATGTGAAAGTTCTCTACCTGACTTCCTGGAAAGTCACTACCAATCAGAACAGAGTTTGATTCCAGTGGCACATGAAAGTTTATACCAGGAATAAAACTTCGTTGGTCCTAAAGGTGCCACTGGACTCAAAACTTCTACTGCTTCAGACCAACATGGCTACCCACTCGAAACTAACAATCAGAGTAGACAATGCTGACCCTGATAGAGCAATAATCTGACTCAGTAAAAGGCAATGTCATGCGTCCTCTGTGATACTGAAATGCCAAAAGGTGAAGCAGGCCTCCCGAAAGAGGCGCATAGGGATCTGGTCACACATTTAGTAGCCTACGGGCAATTTAACAGACTCCTTTCTACCCAATCCAAAACATTTCAACCTCATAGCCAGGGATAGGTGAGTTATAGATAGCTGCGTAATAGACATATTATCATGAGTGTGTCAGGCAGGTTGCCTGTCCCCGCCTTGCCCCCAGTTGCCCAGTACAGAGTTCATGTTTTTTGGGGGTCCGTGCACATGATTACACGCAATGTTCCGCATATTTTACTGGGTTTTTTTATCCTGCCTTTCCTTCAAGGAGCTCAGGGCAGCACACATGGTTCTCCTCTCCAGTCTTATCCTCACAACAACCCTTTGAGGTAAGTTAGGCTGAGACAGAGAGAGACGGTGTGTCTGACTGGCCCGAGATCACCCAGCAGTCTCCAGAGCAGAGTGACATTCTGAATCCGGGTCTCCTTGGACCTGGGCCAGCACTCTACCCATTGTAATACACTGCCTCTCATCATGCTACACTGGCATGCCTAGACTGCCCCGTGTGAAGGTGGCAAAGGGGTTGCCCAGACTGTCACAAGCCCAAAATCTGGCTTGGCACTCTCCTTTCTCATTGCATGGGAGGAAGGCTTCCTGTAGCATGCAAAGCCGAGGCTTGTGCTTATGATAAGAAATGCACACTGGGTGGCTGACTGGCCACCCAAGGGCTGAATCTAGCCCCCAAAGCACTTTGATTTGGCCCTCTTTCCTCAGTGGCCTTCCCCCTCACCATTTAAGGCATTCCCCCTCACCATTTAAGGCATTCCCCCTCACCATTTAAGAAAAGACGCAATGAGGCTTCTCCTGTAGTTCACATAAATTATTCTCATATGCTGTCGTGTACACATTTAGGAAAGGCAGTAAAGCTTTTTAATTGGCTTATTGAGGGGGAACTTTCAGGAAATGTGTTTACTTTTCAGTGCCCCCTCCCCCTCCATAAGCACACATGGTCCGTATTTGGGAAAGCCCTGACTACTCAGTGATAGTGACGTTACTGTTAAGCCTGACCACCCCCGAGGGGGCTGGATGGTGATGTCCCACTGCTAGTGCCTGGGGAATATCATAAGCCCATGCTGAAAGCAAAGTGTCCCGCTGTGCCAATCGCATTGACCCCAAGTTGGAAAGCAGTACATGTAGCATGCTGTCAACGCCTGTCTAGTCTCCCCCCGTTGACTCAAAAATTCATCAGTATTGACATTGCTTCTCTTCTGTCAGCTTCCCCCCCCCCTCAAATCTAGTGTACTTTTTTAGAAGCTGTGATAGGCCTTTGTGGTCCTGTACTTTGTTACTGTAACTTTAAAAAAAAAAAGATTTATGA